ACAAATTACTTCTTCGGTTTCATCAATCTCTACAATGATATTTTTTAGAAAATTATCATTATCTGAAGATGAAGATGATGATAAATATGATGGACCTCCAGCATCGAAATTTATTTTTGAAGTAAGAAAAGAATGACTGAAGTATGCAGAAATGGAGAATAATAATTTAACACAATAATGAATAATTGTATGGAGGAACCTAATCTAGTATGTTATTTATAAAACTTTGCTTAGCTGTATACGTTGAACAATGTGTAAAGCTGAGCTGAGTTCAGAAAATGATTTCCAGCTGTTATCAATTTATCACAAAATTCAAATTTGCTTAGCTGTATACGTTGGACAATGTGTAAAGCTGAGCTGATTTCAAAAAATGATTCTCATTCATATAAAGTTTTCACACAATTCAAATTTGCTTAGCTGTATACGTTGGACAATGTGTAACGCTGAGCTGATTTCAGAAAATGATTCCCACTCATATAAAGTTTTCACATAATTCAATGAATGCTTAGCTGTATACGTTGGACAATGTGTAAAATTGAGCTGATTTCAGAAAATGATTCCCACTCATATAAAGTTTTCACATAATTCAATGAATGCTTAGCTGTATACGTTGGACAATGTGTAAGGCTAAGCTGATTTTAGAAAATAATTCACACTCATATAAAGTTTTCACACAATTCAATGAATGCTTAGCTATATACATTGGACAATGTGTAAAGCTGAGTTGTTTGTACACAACAATTCAATTTCAAATGTTGACCACTGACAAATTCAAATTCAAATTCAAAATAAAAAAAATAAATTTGAATTGGCTATCAATAACATTCACGAATTCTACTTCAAACCAACCAATTCGAAGTATTTCTTCAAAGTATTTCTAATCTCCAAACCAACCGCTTTTTACAAAAAAAAATGTATGTTCGATCATTTAGATACACGGTTATTGAAGATGTGCTCATTTGTCAAGTATTCATGGATATTTTTCAACACCCTATTATCAGTAGAAACCAGTCTCGAGATGTATTTTGGTCTCGTGTGGAGGACAAATACAATGAACTTCGAGATCAGCATTTTGAGGTTCGTACGAGCCGATCAGTTCGTTCTTGAATGGAAATCATAAGTAATGAAGTAAGGAAATTGAATGCGTGCTTGAGATAAGTAGAGAATCTGAATCCAAGTGGTGCTTCAGATGAAGATATTGTAAGTATTCTATTAATTATCTTTTGAAATTTATTATTATTGTTGAAATACATAACTTGATGTTCACTATAATTTATAGTTAGTTCGAGCAAAGATGTTATTTATGCAAGAACCAAAGCACAAAAAAGGTTTCAAATTTGATCATGTCTGGAATATGGTTAAAGATTTTGAAAAATTTAAAGATGATGTCCCCACAGCAAGACAAGTTGGTCGAAGACAACCCCAAAGTGTGAACTTCAACTCGTCACAATCAGATAATCCCACCTCGAAATCTCCTATATCAACATCTCTTGGACTGTTATCATTTACTCCACCTGAACGACCTATTGAGGTAAAAAAAGACAAATTGAAAAGGAAAAGTGATGATCATGAGTCAAGTGTAGTGGACATCATTGACATAAATAACAACAGACTTATAGACAGGTTAGACAAGACGAGCTTGGACAGGCAAGTAGCATTTGATATCGAACGAGAAAAGATAGCCATGAAAAAAGATAGAGATGAATGGAAAATAATAATGAAAGATTTGAATTCCATTGCTGATCCAACCGTACGTGAGTAGGTTCGAGCTCAACAAATTAAAATAATACAAAAAAGAAATCAACAAGAACAATGGTCTGCTTCTAATTTTGGTAATTATTTTAATGATATTGGACACTCTGGATCCAATCTACCAGATTATTGAGAGTTGCTTGTCCATCTTATGTAATGCTATATGTTTAGTTTATATATTATGTTTTATTTTAATGTAGTTTATATTATATGTGTCATTTTTTATATGTTATGTATTTCAGTTATGTAATTTATATTAGAATTATGTATCAGGATTGCTCTTTATATTTTAATTTTTATTTCATGGGACTTTAATTATAATGTCTAGATTTTAATAATATAATTAATAATAATGTCTTATAAATTTTAACATAATTTTTATTTTTAAAAAATAATTTATTTTGTCCAAATTATACAATTGGGGTAAAACTATAAAATTTAAATATTATTAAAATTATAAAATTTAAATATTATTGGGGTTGTTTTATAAATTTAATAAAATAGTTGGGGTCAAATTATAAATACATAAAATTAAAAGGTAAAAATAAAAAGTTAAAAAGTAAAAAAATAAAAAAACAGTAATGGAGTGAGAAACAGTGTGACACCATATTTGGCGTCGCACTGTTCATGTCTGCTAAAATGCCGTAGAGAATGATGCTGGATTGGAGAAGTAACGCGCGGTAAATGCACCGTTTGCGGTATTTTGCTGTTGCGTTGGAGATGACCTAAGGCATTGACAATCTTTAGCCATTTGACTAGATGAACTATAACGAAAGCAAAGACGCTGATAGGGACTTTGGTAGTATGAGTGCCTAAAGTCCCACATCGAGTAGTTTGGGATGCTTGATAGGGTATTTAAGTAGCTTTGTTCTTCCCCCTTAACAGCTAGCTTTTAAGGGTGGGTTCCCCAAATTGCTTGGGTGCCTATCAAATGGTATCAAAGCTGGTTGTCGGCGTCACAGAAAAGGCTACCCGTGGAGGGGCTGACTGACGGAGGGGCTGACCAGAAAGACCGAGTGAAGCAACGCCGAGTGAAGCGTCATAGAGTGCAGTCGTCGGGATGTCGGCTCTAAGGGGCGGTGCTATGATAAGGATGCCTAAAGTCCCACATCGAGTAGTTTGTGATGCTTAATGGGGTATTTAAGTGGCTTGGTTCTTCCCCTTAACAGCTAGCTTTAAAGGGTAGGTTCCCTAAATTGCTTGGGTGCCTATCAGACGCCGTTGAGAACTAGATCTACAGCGAGCCGAGATGTAGGGTTTTGAAGAGAATGTTACAAGAATGGAGATATGTTCTTCTTCTTAACCATTTTTACCCAATCCCCTCGATCAATTTCAGCCTTTAATTGATCTGGAGATCTGCATGAGGGATCAAATCCAATCGTAGAAATCAATTTCTAGTAGAGATTTTGTACTTTGAGTCAATCGCTTACATGTGGAAACCATGAAGCGAACCCATAAAAAAGATGAAAAATCAAGAATGTGCTTCTCTTGAATGGGCTGAGAATTGGGCTGAAGATTTTTTGTCCTAATTAGCCATTAGAGGATTTTCCTCACGGGATAGTAGTTTACTTCAATATATATGATTTTTTTTTTGTTTGTTTTGTTTTTTGAAACATTCCCTTATTAGACATTAACAAAAACAAATGAAATGTAATAAAAATACCATTACAATAAAATTTGAAAAAAAAGAAAAGAACATTTCCAATGGGAAAGAAGATCAAATGGGAGAGGGGGAAACAGGGGAGAAAATGGATGATTGGTCAACTCGTCACCTCCTCCTCTGTCTCCATCTTCCAATCTCTCTCTTCTCAAAATTCAACGTTCAAACCTCCTCAATCTCTCTCTCTCTCTCTCTCTTTCTCTCTCTAGCCCCCTCCCTCTCTTTCTTTCTCCTCACCCATTCCAATTCTACGCCGCCATCGACAACTTGTCCTCCATATTAAAACCCTCCCCTCTCCCCCTCATACCCATCTCCCTCATACCCATCTGCTCTCTCTCTCTCTAGATCTCTATTTCTCTCTCTATCTCTATTGATCTCTCTTTCTCTCTCTAGAACATGGTGAGGTTACCGTACGTTACAGCGCTCACAACCCTCTTCAGCTATGGCCTCCTCTTCGCCTTCGGCCAGATGAGGGATTTCATCAGGAAAATCCTTGATTTCCCCAAATCTAAGAATCTAGGGGTAATATTTCCTTCTTATTAAGCAAAACCCTTTTTTTTTTTTTTGTTTGGTTGATTATATGTCAAATTTTTTTCTTGGATTTGGTGCTTGATCAAGGGACTTCAATTAGTACTAACTATTTGCATGATCTAAGAGTTCATACTATTCGAAAGTCTTGACTTCGTGAAAATATATTGGTATTTCTCACCACATATACTTGATAATTGCCTTTGATTGTGGTGTAGAGTTGCTTACTTGAAGCTATTTTGATGTGTTCTCATACTTTACGTTGTCCTTGTTTTTTTTTATAGCAATAAACAAAGAGTAAGCAAGAAAAAAAAAGCTATAAGTGAAGTTCATTTTCTCTGAGGCTAAGACTCATGAAACTAGTGAGTTTCTTCTTGAGAGTTTGTTCATCTCTCTATTATGATGGGTTGTTTAGTGGAAGTAATATACAAGTGATCCAACATATGAGAATGAGTTGGTCTGAGATATATTTAATAGTTATTTTTTGTTACTCTATTGATCTATCACATTGATGTTTTAGCCTTGTCGCTCTCTTGCACAACCAAATTGAAAAAAAATGAGAGGAGAACATTGATCTTGGTTGAGTGAGTTGAACGATAGACTTAGTGATGCTTGGATTGTCTTTTTAGGATGCATGGTAAGTCCCTCTTTTGTCCAACTCCAACCAATCACGGTTTCTCTTTGCCACGTGCACAAGTTTGATGTCAAGTTAAATAGTTTAACCTGATTTTGACTTGTTAGGGTTTGACTATTTTCATTTATTATCATGGCCGGGCATTTCTAATCAGGTTAAGATTCCATATTACAAATCAGTTTATTCTGCAATACCTTGGTATATATCCCACCATGCCTGCCTTGTAGATCTAACTCTGAAATTCTATGATTTTCATATTATAAGACATAGAGAAATATGTCTCCGGTTTGGTTTGGAAAACTAATGAAATCACTTCAGTTTTCATTATAATACAAGAGAAATGGTTGCTTATTTGTGCAAAAACAACAAGAAATATCTTTGAATTAGCTAATATGAGCATGTGTTAGAGAGTGAAACGGCTAATTGATAATCATAGCTATAATGTGGCGAGGCCTTCTAAGAGTATACTGGATGTTCACTGAAGATTCCGTCATCATCCTGATGCAAAATTCTCTTTCGCAGGATTGTTTTGGAAGACCTATTTCAAGCGCACCAGATTCTTGGATTGATGTAGTTGAACGTTACAGCAATGACAATAACAAGACCTTACAGTAAGTGCTACATCTGAACAACTATAATATTTTCTATAATTCACCTTACCTGACCTTCAATCTTTGTACTGCACATCATATCCTTACTATTCTTCATAGACTTAAGGTTATTAAACATAGAACTCACACTTCATTCTAAAAATTAATGGCTGAATGTAGAAGCCATGCATGCTAACATTTGGTTGTTACTGGTTGATTTTCAACTGCATCAAATACATTTATTGATTTTTCTCCCTCAAAATGGAAAGAAAGATAGTAACTGATTTTCTTAATCATTGCAGCCGGACCTCAAATTCTACTAGATGCCTCAACCTGGGATCATACAACTACCTTGGTTTTGCTGCAGCAGATGAATATTGCACGCCTCGTGTTATTGAATCCCTGAAGAAATACTCACCCAGCACCTGTAGTGTTCGTGTAGATGGAGGTAAGAATATTCTTCATGTATATTATCTGACAAATACGTTGAGATGGAATAAAGATGATTAACTTTTGTGTTGTTTGGCATCAGGAACAACTAAATTGCACACTGAGCTGGAGGAATTGGTTGCAAAATTTGTAGGCAAGCCAGCTGCTATTCTGTTTGGTATGGGTTATGCAACAAACTCTGCCATCATTCCCGTCCTCATTGGAAAGGTTTGTACTGAAGAATGTGAACTCAACTTTTGAATTTCTTCCGTTTGATCAACTATTTCCACATTTAATTTCTGAGCGAGTTTTCTACGTAATCGTAAACAGGGAGGATTGATAATTAGTGATTCTTTGAACCATAACTCAATTGTCAATGGTGCTCGAGGATCAGGAGCAACAGTACGGGTTTTCCAACATAACAGTGAGTTTGTACCTCAATAATTGGACCCTAATCACCCGACATTGTTTTGGTTACTTATTCTTTTATTGGGTTTATATTTTTAGGTCCAGCTCACTTGGAGGAGGTGCTGAGAGAGCAGATTGCTGACGGACAGCCTCGTACACATAGACCTTGGAAGAAAATCATAGTTATTGTTGAGGGAATCTATAGCATGGAGGGGGAGCTTTGTAAATTGCCAGAGATCATAGCTGTATGCAAGAAATATAAGGTGTGACTACTAGCAGATTCTAGTTTCGTATTTTCCTCTACATTTATTTTTCCGTATATCTACTAAACAATATAGGAGATGTATGGACTACGCCACTTTGAAGTATCAAGTAGTATTCTTGATGTAAAACTGGTTGATTCAAATTTCCAGTTACATTGGTTGTTTCCTCTTTGACGTTTAATTAGCCTACATGGTTTTTCATTAACACATAAAACCATCATGCATTGAAAAATCACCAATTTATTGTTTGATCTTTCACGCTTCTTTAAAAGTTCATTATGTGAGGTCCTGTTAACTGAAATTTTGAGTAGTATAGTTGTACTTTTAATGAGTCAGTCAACCTTCAACAGAGCCGAAAGCAAAAAACTGAGAATTTACTGTTTTTTGTTCGTGTAGGCATACACTTATTTGGATGAGGCCCATAGCATTGGCGCAATTGGAAAAACTGGAAAAGGTGTTTGTGAGCTCCTTGGAGTTGACCCTGCTGATGTAGATGTAATGATGGGAACATTTACAAAATCATTTGGATCTTGTGGAGGCTATATTGCAGCATCAAAGGTCTGTTTAATGTTTTATCCTTCAAATAGTTGTGAATTTGTAAATGATGAGTCCCCCAAGGTTGTCCATTATTAAGAGCTCTTTATTTTCTCTTCCAGGAAATAGTTCAATACTTGAAGCACACTTGCCCTGCTCATCTTTATGCAACTTCCATGTCCCCTCCTGCTGCTGAGCAAGTGATATCTGCAATTAAAGTTATCCTTGGAGAAGATGGATCCAATAGAGGTAACTATAATATCCTTTTAAACCAAAACTAGTCCTGCTATACGAGTTTCATATGTTTTTCTCATATATGCTCATATTCGAATTTTTTCCTGAATTTTATTTAAACAGGGGCATTGAAGCTTGCACAAATTCGTGAGAACAGCAATTTCTTCAGGTCAGAACTTCAGAAGATGGGTTTTGAGGTTCTCGGGGACAATGATTCTCCAGTCATGCCAATAATGCTTTACAATCCGGCAAAAATCCCAGCCTTTTCACGAGAATGTCTGAGGCAGAAGGTGAAAATTCGGAACATTTTTCCTCTCTCAAATGATGGGTGATTTATGAGAAGCTTTATTAAAATAATTATATTATCTACTTACTATAATATTTATCTAATTTAATTTTTTAATTATGCTCTTAAATAATTTAGTACTATAAATATCTTATAAATTTTTATTATACTATCATTAACAACTAATAATACTATTATTAATGTTAAATACTTTTTTTATATAAAAAAGTTAGTTTTCAATTATTACCAAGTATAGATTATTGAGTATCATGTAATAATCTTTGAGAAAATACTCTAAAATAATATTAATTTATTTATTAATTTTATTTAATTATATAATACTAAATAAATATGTAATTTATAATTTATGTAATATTATTAAAATAACTATACTATTTATGACATAAATTTTTATTCTGTTTATTTTATTGCTCATTGAATTATAGTGTAATTTTAATAGTCTTTAGTAATATATTATTCTATTTATACTATTATTTTAATTATTTCATTATAATTCGTAAATAATAATTATAATAATATGTAGATGTGTCCTCATGTTTGGATTTTTGGGAATTGTCATGTCTGACAAGTGATGACCATTTTTTAGTACGACACTTGTTTCAGTCAATGGATGGATCATAGCATTTGGCTATACCATTTTGTTATGAGACACCATCTTCAAAGATTTTTAAACATGCATCTCTTCAATCTTAGAGCATGTTTGGTAACCGACTTATTGCTCCTTATAAGTAACTTTTTACTTATAAGGTGCCAATGTAGTGTTTGGTAAGGGTTAATTATTTTACTTAACAACTTATAAGTTATAAGTAGAGAAACAATAAGTTGGGATTTTCCAACTTAGTTTTTGTTTATTTATGAGGAACTTTCCTTATTCTGGCCGAAAGACTAAAACATCCTCCTATTCCCTTTACTTTAATTACATATGTTCTTATTATAAAGTGATTAATATTAATAACTAATTAATTTATTAATAATTATTTATTAATAATTAATTAGTTAATTGTTTATTAATAATTATTATTTTATTAATATGAAATTAATTAATCTAAATATTACTAATTAATAATCACAAATGCTGTAATATATAAAAATATTTTAATAAAGTATATTTATTACTATGAGATAACTAATTTTTATATGTTAATTAGTCCTTTTATTAACAATAATATTTTATTAGTATGAATTTAATTAATTAATCACAATATTAGTAATTAATAAACACAAAAAATGTATTATATAAAATTATTTTAGTCAAATATATTTATTATTATAATTAATTAGTATTTTATTAATAATGATATTTTACTAATATGAATTTAGTTAATAAATATAAATATTAATAATTAATAGTCACAGATGATGTAATATATAAAAATATTTTAATCAAATATATTTCTTATTATGAGATAACTAATTTTAATAATAATAATATTTTATTCTAATGAAATTTATTAACTAATCTCAATATTATTAACTAATAACATCTGAAATAATTAAATTAAATCAATTACTTTTTTAAATAATTAATAAATTTAATATTATTAATTATCTAGTTAATATAAAATGAATTAATTTGTCACAATATGGAGTTGCAGCAGTATGTTCTTTATAGTCATTCGACATATAACACAACTGTAGAAGTTATTGGTTTACCAAACACATAATTACTTATATATCTTATACCAAGCAACATCCATATTTTCATACATGCAAGGAGTTTTGAGAATATGTAATAAGTAACTTAAAAGGATTCAAAAAATAAGTAGTAGCCAAACATGCTCTTAGCATGAAGAATAAATATCGATGAGGTCACTCGATATACTGAACATCATATTCAGGATTAATTGTAGATAGACCCCTAGTAGTTTTGTTGTTTCTGATAGACCTTTGAGTGAACTTTTTTTTTACCCTCCCCTTTTTGACTCTTTTACCCTCATTAGACTTCACACACACACAGACAAACATCCATGAAGTGACTGTTACTGTGTTAGACTTGAATAGCGATATGATTTGTGCCTACAGATAATCTTGGACATCCCCTGTCCATTTGAATAAGCGTATTTGCCTGATGACTGTTGTTAATACGAGTCATCGTGCTTCAACCATGATACGTCGTTAAAGCATATTAACAAGTGCGTCTTCCACATGCTATAGGTTGCGGTTGTAACTGTTGCTTTCCCTGCAACACCCCTTCTCCTCGCCAGGGCTCGCATTTGCATTTCTGCTTCCCACTCAAGAGAAGACCTTGTTAAAGCTTTAGAGGTAAAAACCAATAAAATCCCTCTTATATCCCATAAGTAGCATTTATCATTTTATTAGCATCAGTGAAAGCTAACATCAACATTTTCTGATATATTACAGGTCATCAGCAACGTTGGTGATCTCATCGGCATCAAGTACTTCCCAGTTGAACCTCACAAGACCCATGCTGAAGAGAGCAGGAAGAAACTAGAGTAGGGAATTCTCAACATGTGTGTGCATTTAAAGCAGACAAACATTTCCTCTTGGGGCTCTTGTTCGTACATTAGGAGTGCAATTTGGAATAATTTTTGGCTCCTTTTCGCAAATTTTTTCGTCTGTACAGTTACAGTAAACCTGTGCTAAGAAGTGTCAGTGAATTACTAGTTTAATTTGGTCTTTGTTTTATTTCTCTTTTTACTGGATTGATGAGAATTTATTTGTAGCAAGATAATACATGGCAAATAAAGTAAACCAAACTCAGTTTCAAGATTGTGAAAGTAGCGTTATAGAGATTATCTTAGTGTTTACATGCTCTGGTCTATGTTTTGCGGCAACCGGGTATTTCTCCTCGTCTTTTCCTTGTCAAAT